CTTGCTTCCTGAAATGAATTTGAGAGGATTCCATCATTTTCTATGTTCTGGAAGACTTTAAGATTGATGTCAACACTTCTCTGGAAGATTGGCAGGTGTCGGATCTGACTCCACGGCAGTGAGTTTTTTGTTTTTTTTTTTTTTTTAAAGCACTTAGAACAGAGCCAGGCACAGAGAAACATGTAACATTCTTTTAGCATCATATAAACTGTAGAGTCGCTTCTATTCAGATGATCACAGGGACTGAGTCACTTATTTTCTTTTGTCTTAGTGAAAGGGTTAAAATGTAATAGGTGGCCCGTGAAAACTAGGTTAATCTTTTTCTTATTTCTAGATACTATATTGCTCCCCTCCCTCTGGCCCACACTAAATCTCAATTCTCCTTCAGTGCTATTATCTTGGAGCAACGAAAGATGCAGCCACAAAGATCCTAAGTGAAGTCACTCGCCCAATGAGTGTGCATATGCCTGCAGTGAAGATTTGTGAAAAGCTGAAGAAGATAGACAGTCAGATCTGTGAGCTGAAATACGGTATAATGGAGTAGAGTGCTCTTTCCAATATGTCCAATGCATTGCTAAATATAAGGCCATGCTTTATAGTAAGTCAGGGTCAGAAGGACAGGAGTGCTGTGCTCAGCAATAGGATGATGGACTGACGAATGGTGCCTGGTGATATTTCAGCTTCTTTAAGGGAAGATGGCTCAGTAGTACGGTAATCAGAGTTAGGTAAAACTGCCAATCCAAATAGCAACTGTTCCAGTGACCAAGGCAATGTCTGCTATGCATGTCAAGGAAAACTTTAAAATACACAAAGAACAGCTAATTAGGGTAATTTAGTTCTTGGTGAGAAGTCCCTCAGTGGCGCAAATGGTTAAGTACTCAACTACTAGCTGAAAAGTTGGTGGTTGGAACCCGCCAGGAGGCTCCTGGGAAGATAGCCTAGTGATCTGCTTCAGAAGGGTCACAGCCTTGAAAACCACGCGGAGCAGTTCTACTCTGCCCATACCGGATTGCCATGAGTCAAAAGAACTCCAAGGCCAGCTAACAACAGCAACAGTTCTTGTTAACCTTTTGAGACAAAAGTTGCATGTATTCAAAGATACAAATGTGACTATTTCTTCCTAGGCATGTCTATTGTTATAAAAAGGGAGCTCTGGTGGTGTAGCGCCTAAGGCATTTGACTGCTAACCAGAAGGCTGGCAATTCAAACCCACCGGCCACTCCTTGGAAGGAAGGGTGGGCAATCTACTTCTGTAGTGATACTGCCTCGGAAACACAAGGAGGGGTTAGGAATTAGATTATTACATCAAATCAGTTTTTGCATGAGGAAATAGCCTTAGCAAGGGTGTCTACAATAAACAGGAGGGAAGGAAAGGAGATACCCTATTTAACACATTATCCTTGGCCTTACACATCTCACATTGATCTATTCTTATACTGAATGTTTGATTCTGAGCCAGACTTTTGGATAGATTAAGTGTATGTGATAAAAGACTGGGGAATTTCTCCCTGGCCTGTACTTAACATCTGAAACTCTGCCAGTAGAAATTTATTTATTTTGCTTAAACAATTGTTTTCTGTTACATACCCAAAATTATACTGTAAACTCTGTAAGTAATTTGCATCTAACTTTAAATTATTTTTCAACAGAGCTGTATAATGTGCCTACATACCATAACTACATAGCTAGCTTTAAATAAGTTTAAAGCTGGAAGATAATAAAAAATGACCTATTTTCAATTTGCCAAGGGCAGGACTTAAATTCCAGGGTAGTGATGATAGGGTAGGCATCCCTTTTTATTGGCTTCAAAGTAATGAAATAGACGCAGGAATCCACGTAAACAGTGTTCACTGAAGGAAAAAACTTGTGCTGATTCTTTTAGTCAACACATTTATTTCAAATAACTTCTACTGTTTGCAAGAAATCTTACTGGGCTAGTAAGATATTGAGAAGAAATGGCTACTTCCTAATATTTTGGCAATACTGGCCACTAGAGGCCCTTGGGGAGCTGTGAACTAGTTTCAGTTTTTGTGTTGGGCTTTACTTTGTAGTTTTATAAACTTTAGAGGTTTTCCCCTTTTTAAAATTAATGCCAGATGCTAGGTTCCCCAGAAAAACTCAAAGACACTACTGGCATTTGCAAGAAATAGGGGAATGGAGCCATAGCTCTAAATTCTTCTCCCCAGCTTATTGTTGGCAGGAAAGTTGAGATTGAACTTCAGGTTGTGTGATGTGAATGAATTGGGCTATAAAAGTTTCTGCTTTTAAAGGTCTTCTTTCAAAATGAAATTAACAGACAGAGAAGTGTGCAATTGGATGCTATTTTAAATTAGGAAAGTGTCATTCAGTTTTTGATCTGCGAGAAAGCTTTTGTTTGTTTTGTTTCTTAAAAGGGTGGGGTCACTATAAAAATTCTTAAAGGATGGGGTCTCTGGAGCGCAGGGTGTAGTTAATCTTTAAAAAAAACTTTTCAAATTCAGCTTTTAAATTAGAATACATTTGTTGGAAATTTTTGATAAATCGCTTGACAACTATTTAGATTTTTAAGAGGTTTTTGAATGCCATGTTCTACCATGCAACGGAAACAGGAAAGGCCTCTTAGGTCCTGAGCAATTACTGATTGTTTAATGCCCACTGCCACAGCCATCAAGTTGAATCAACTCATGGGAACCCTATAGAACAGAGTAGAACTGCCCCAAAGGCTGTAAATCTTTACAGAAGCAGACTGCCTCATCTTTCTTCCGTGGAGTGTTTGGTGTGTTCAAACCACTGACCATTTGGTTAGCACCTGAATGTTTTAACCACTGCACCACCAGATCTCTTTGATTGTTTAGTAAATAATCTTCAATGTTTTATCCACAATGCAGCAAACTCCTGATGAAAGAGGAGCATTGTGTCTTCTATAGGGAAATTATAATCATGAATATATGTAACAAGTTTAATTTTTAATTTTTATTTTTGGTTTGTCAGTAGAGAAATAGCAGAGTTGTTGAAATTTTCTGCAGATAATCTGTAAACAAGAGAAGGGTAGTCTTGCTGAAGAAGTTAGAGCTTAGAGAAAAGATTTTTAGGAGCCAAGATTGTTGGCATCAAAGCAATGACATTAGGAAAGTGGGTGTGACCACAAACTAAAACCCAAACTCACAGGCAGGGACTCAGTTTCAACTCATAGTGACCCTATACAACAGAGTAGAACTGCCCCCATAGGGTTTCCAAAGTCTGTAATCTTTATGGAAGCAGACTGTTACATCTTTCTTCTGCTGGTGGGTTTGAACCACTGACCATTTGGTTAGCAGCTGAGTGCTTTCACCGCTGTGAAATCAGGGCACTTCATATTTTCCCCTTATAAGCACAGTGATTCATTTTAGGAATGTTAGTCTTCAGGACCATCCTTATGGAGGGGCAGCAAACATTGCAAAAATACACAAGTCCCTATTTTGAAGCAAGGATCATTTCTCGGAGAAATACTGATAGAATGCTGATCATCCCAATAGCCCTGTACATAAAAAATTTCCTTTAGGTATGTCTTGGTTTCCATAGGAATTGGAGTTGTTCCCCTCTTTGGACTATAGTGTTGTCAGCACCAAGAAAAGTAACATGATTTGCCTTTCTAAATAGTTTCATAGTTCTTGGTTTGTGTGTATGTGTGCATGTTTTTTTCTTTTGTTCTTTAGAAAAGAAGTTGGACTTGGCATCAGTTGACCTGTCGAAGATGAGAGTAGCAGAGCTGAAACAGATTCTGTATAGCTGGGGAGAAGAGTGCAGGGCCTGCGCGGAAAAAACAGACTACGTGAATCTGATTAAAGAACTGGCACCCAAGTATGCAGCGAAGCACCGAAATACAGAGCTCTGAATCTCAGCCGCCAGCACACCATTGATGTAATGGGAGAGAAATGACTCTAGGGTATGGATATGCTGGCCAAGGATAACTGGGAAATGTACTGTGCGAGGCCTCATACTTTTTGTCTTGATATTACACCTCAGAAGTGGTTACTTGATTTTATGAGTACAAACTACTAATATCTCTTATAGTTGTAGTATAACAAAATGTGAAAGTGCCTTTCTTGTGATTTTCTTGAAAGGTTTATGTAGATTATCATTGCCTATCTTCTAAAATTGGGAAACGTGAACTGAGAAATTCATGGAGTAAATTGATTCTGAGAGGAAGGAGAGTTTTCATTAGACCTCTCTCTGTGCACTAGCATGTGTGAATGTGTATGTGTATGTGTGTATGAGAGAAAGAGAAAAACCATAAAAATTTATCTAAGAAAATAAGAAGATCCAAATGAGTAGATATATATATCATGTTAATGGAAAACTCAGTATCATAGAAGTGTCAGTTTTTCTGTGGATACTGATACACACACACAAAAAAAACACAGGACTATGGACAAAGAGGCAGGTACATATGTAGATATGATGATGTTGTTGTTGCTAGGTGCTATTGAGTCACTTTTGACTCACAGTGACCCTATATACCACAGAATGAAACACTGCCCAGACTTACATCACCTCACAATTATTGCTATGTTTGAGCCCTTTGTTGCAGCCACTATGTCAGTCCATCTCATTGAGTGTCTTCCTCTTTTTTGCTGACTGTACTTTATAAAACATGATATCCTTCTCCAGGGACTGTCCATCCTGATAACGTGTACAAAGTATGTGAGGTAAAGTCTGGCCATCTTTGCTTCTGAGGAGCATTCTGGCTGTACTTCTTCCAAGACAGATTTGTTTGTTCTTCTGGCCAAACCAAACAACCAAACTCGCTGCCGTTGAGTTGGATACAACTCATAGTGACCCCTCCTTGGGTTTCCAAGGCGATATCACTATAGAAGCAGATTGCCCAACCTTCCTTCTGAGGAGTGGCTGGTGGGTTTGAACCGCCAGCCCACTGGTTAGCAGTCAAATATCTTAGCCAGTACACCACCATATTCAGCACTCTTTGTCAATACAACATAATTCAAATGCATCAATTTTTCTTCGGTCTTCCTTATTCATTGTCCAACTTTCACGGGCATATGCAAATGGCTTGGGTCAGGTGCTCCTTTTTCCTCAATGTGACATTTTTGCTTTTTTTTTTAATTTATTTTTAACACTATACAGAGTCCTTTTGCAGCAGATTTGCCCAATGCACTACATTGTTTGATTTCTTTTCTGCTGCTTCTATGGGCACTGATTATGTATCCAAGTAAAATGAAATCCTTGACAACTTCAATCTTTTCTCCATTTGTCACAATTGTTGTTTATTGGTCCAGTTGTGAGGATTTTTATTCTCTTTATGTTGAGGTGTAATTCATACTGAAGGCTATATTCCTTGGTCTTCATCAGTAAGTGCCTCAAGTCATCCTCACTTTCAGCAAGCAAAGTTGTGTCATCTGCATATCGCAGATTATTATTGAGTCATCCTCCTCCAATCGTGATGTCATGTTCTTCTTCGTATAGTCCAGCTTCTCAGATTATTTGCTCAGCATACTGATTGAATAAGTATGGTGAAAGGATACAACCTTGTTGCTCTTCCTTCCTGATTTTAAACCATGCAGTGTCCCCTTGTTCTATCTGAATGACAGCCTCCTGGTCTATGTACGGGTTCCTCTGAGCACACTTAAGTATTCTGGAATTTCCATTCTTTGCAATGTTATCCATAATTTGCCATGATCCACACAGTCAAATGCCTTTGCATAGTCAATGAAACTCAGGTTAACATCTTTATGATCTGATGATAGACAATAGATATTTCCTAAAACTTCATATGATTACAACTTTCTTCGTGTGTATAGGCTGTTTGTTCTCTAAATTTTAATGAAATATATTGGCTTAGGACAAAAGAAACAATGTTTAGTTTATCAAATTCACAACTTGAACCCAAAATAGTAACATAAGCAAAAGGTTTTAAGAAGTAAGCTTTGTATTTTCAACTGTAAATAATTCTGTATTCTAACTCCTTTTGCTAGAATGGTGGGACAGGAGGCACTACTTTAAATTAGTTTCCTGTCTGAAAAAAATTTACTTAAAACCTATTTATACAAAGGAAAGAGATCAAGAACCCATAAAAAGATAGCTAAAGTTTTGGCAAATTGTTATCAGCATGGTATTATTAATTGAACTAAACTCAGGTCTTTTTCAATCTTCACTACCACGCGTTAAACAAACTTTTGATAGAGGATGAAAGCATATTAAGACCACCTGCAGGCAACCGGAGCTCTGTGGTTCTTAATGCTGTTTTATTAGCTTTAACTCGTAAAATTGTTTCTAGTTCCATTTTCTGGGCACATAAAAATAAGAACTCATTCATTGTAGAAGTGGTTGCCTTTGTATGGCAAGGGGGAAGTAACTGTAAAGTGGCAAGAGGGAATTTTCTGGGGTGATGGAAATTTCCTATATCTTGACTGGGGTGGTGGTTACATTGGTGGTTACGTGAGTGAATGAGATTGTCAAATGTCACTCAATATTTAATATTTGTTCATTTTATTGGACATAAATTGTAGCTCAAAACAAAACAAAAAAAAACTGCTGTTTGTTTTTACCCCAAATCCATAAATACACAAGATTTAGAAGCCAGACATTCTGAAAAAACTGATAAAACTCCTGGCTAAAAAAATGTTCATCTAAAGGCATAGTGCCTAAGGCATTTGACTGTTAACTAGAAGGTTGGCAGTTCAAACCCACCAGCCACTCCGTGGAAGGAAGACTGGGCAATCTACTTCTGTAAAGATATGCCACCTCACAAACCCAAAAGGGGTTGCTACGAGTCAGAATCGACTTAATGGCAGTGAGTTTTTTTTTTTTTTTTTCAAACAGTAATGGTGTAGAATGGAACATTCCTGGTCTAGTCTTGATTTCAAAAATCCTAAGCAAAAGACCCTTTGATTTTGGCCATACATAAATAATGTCAGTAATTTTTTAAAAGCTTCTCAGGTGATATCAGTGTGATACCAAGTTTGAGAGTCACTGTCCAGGAGTCCCTGGGTGGTACAAAAGGTAAATGCTTGATTACCAAATAAATGAAAGTTTGGTACTTTGAACTCACCAAGAGGCACCTTGGAAGACAGGCCTGATGATCTGTTTGTGAAAGGCTATAGCTTTGAAACCTCTTTGGAACAAATCTACTTTGCACACCCAGGGTCACCATGAGTCAGAGATTTGATGGAGATTGGACTGGTCCTGGATAATCTACTGAAAATTCCAGTAGCTGCTGCTCATGATTGGTGGTGCCTTGGCGTAGCAAGCTCAGCCTTTGCAGTTGATTCTTCCAAGGTTAGGATGGTTGACTTCACAAGATTATGTACACTATCTGGCAAGTTGTACATTTTCTGAGAAAATATATCTGCTTAAGATACTGTGAATTGGCTGGCTATACTGTGTAAGAGATTAATTGACCTGCACTTAATTGACTTAGATGAACTTTTTTTAGCCAGAAGTTTTATCAGTTTTTTCAGATGAAATAAAAGAACACAGAGAGACATATAATACGGTCCACAATACACTACCAAAATCCTTGGAGCTAGATATTCTGGGAATACCTAGTTCTTCAGATTTATAGGAAGGCAGTATGGTGCATGCACTAAATATTGTGTAGTATCCTATGCAAGATTGAATGTTGGCTCCCTAATGACAGAGTGCGTTCTGAGAGCTTCTGGGCTGTGTGAAAATTCTGTGAGACAGTAAACTTGTTCACCTGGTAGATGATATAAGTATTTATGTGTATCCCGCTGATTTGGGTGTTGCACTGAGAAACTAAATGTTTGCTTTTTGTGTATCTCTATTCTTCCTCAATTCTAAATTAATAGATTCTTTGTTCTTTTCAGAAAGGGATCCAGAATTTTCTCCTTCCCAGATTATGTGTGTGTGTGTATAATATACTTTGTTTATTAGAGCAGTTTTAGGTTTACAGAGAAATTGTGCAGAAAGTACAGAGTTCCCATATATATTCTCTCTCCTTCCTACACAGCTTCTCCTATTAACATCATGCATTAGTGTGGCATATTTGTTATAAGTAATGAATGAATATTGAATATATTATTATTAACTTAAATCAGTGGGTTGTGCAATTCTGTGGGTCTTGACAACTGCATAGTACCATATATCTACCTATCATTGTATCATGCAGGATCATTTCACTGCCCTTAAAATGTCCTATGCTTCACCTATATATCCCTCTCTCCTAATCTCTGGCAACAGCTGATCATTTTACCCTCTCTGTAGTTTTGCTATTATTTGTCTGTCTGTCTATCTATCTATCGATATCTTTTTTTTTTTTTTTTTTGCTTCCACAGAAAAGTACACAGTGTCACAGCATCTTGGCTCTGAGCTGAAATGATTCAGAAGCCTCGTTCAGACTCAGATTTTGCAAATGAACTTTGCTTGCTCTAATACAATTTATCAGTGATTCCCAAGTGTGTAAGTTTTATTGGAAATTTTTGTTATTGTAATATAGCATCCTGCATATAGAAAGATAAAAATAGAAAAAGTAGAATGGAAAGAGTGCTGAATTAGAATTTTAATCCTAAATTTGTCTGTGGTGAGCTGTGCTAGGAGAAGACTTGTTTAAGTTTTCTGGCTCTGGGTTTTTCATATTATAATGGAGCTAAGGATACCAAATGAAAGCTTGGCAGTTTGAACCTACCAGCTGCTCTGTGAGAGAAAGATGAGGCAGTCTGCTTCTTTTAACTATTACAGCATTGGAAACTCTCTGGAAGCAGTTCTACTCTGTCCTATAGGGTTGCCCTGAGTCGGAATCAACTGCAGTGAGTATGGTTTAGGGTTTAATAAGGTTGTTAGGAGGATTAAATGGGAAAATGTAAGTAAAATATGTAACAGAGTGCCTGCAATGAATGCTTCAATAGATACTAGTCGAAGCCAAATGGTATGTTT